AGCATGTGTCGTGTTGTGTCGTGTCATGTGCGGTGCGTGCGTCGTGTGTCGTGCCTTTGTGGTGGGGTTGGATGACGAGGTCGATGCCCTTGAGGACGTGGCCGAGCTCGTCGCGGTAGCGCATCCATACGTCGCGGAACTCGATCCGCCCCTCCGTGGGCCACTGCTCCCCCTCATCGTCGTCGTCGGCCTCGAGTCCCTCCTCCACGTCAACACCTGCAACGCGCCATCAGCACACGGCCGCACAACCGCACACGCACAACCGCACACGCACAGCCGCACACGCACCGGTGGTGCTGACGATTTGGCGGAGCTTGGGGTCCCAGCGCTGCCCGCGGGCGAGGGCGAGTGGGGCCTCGGGCGGGGTGGCCGTGTAGTGCAGCAGCCGCTCCACCCGATTCATGTTCGACTCCAGCATCGTCCCCGCACGCACGAACCACGTCAGATCTGCCACCGCACACGCACACGCACGCACATAAGTCTCGTGTGTGTGTGTGTGTGTGTGTGTGTGTGTGTGTAGTGTGTGTCGTGTGTGGTGTGTGTGGTGTGTTGGAATGCAGCGTGCCTCCGGTGACGTTGTTGGCGAGGGCGAGGATGAGGCCGACGAAGCCGACGCTGAGAGCGCCGCGGGTGGCAACGCACAGGGCGGCGATGATGAGAATGATGCCCGTGCCTACGGCTTCGACCCGCGCGCCCAGCCAGCGGTTGGCCGTGAAGAGGCAGAAGTAGGCCCGCAGGTTGTCCACCAGCAGCCGCGCGTTTTCGCGTTTGAGCTGCGGCTGGCAGTGGAACGCGCGAATCGTGTCCAGGCCCTCCAGCGTCTCCGTGTACTGCGCGTAGATCGGCGAACTCGTCATCGACTCCAACCTGCCCAGCTCTGCGTGTGTGGAATGCATCAGGAATGTTGTACAAACTATGCAAGAAATGCGCATATTTTGAATACCAAATTCAAGGTATGGGAATGTGAAGCGCACCGCGGGAAGTCTTGCGGTAGAATTGCTGGATCCACCAGTAGACGGCGATGATGGGGAAGACGGGGAGGAGGAACCAGGGCAGAACGCCGCAGATCATGAGGAGCGTGCCCAGCGAGGCGAACAGGCACAGGAAGAAGTCCGACACCATGTCCGGGATCTCCTGGTCCACGACGCCCTGGTCCTTCGAGAACCGCGTGATGATGCGACCTGCATGCGTTGTCGTGTCATGCGTGCGGTCATGTGTGTGCAATCGTGTGTGTGTGTGTGTGCGCGTGCGTGCGTGCGTGCGTGCGTGCGTGTGCGAGTATCCGCGCGTGCGTGTGGTGTGGGAATGAGAATGTGTGGGTGCGATGATGGGTACCGGTGGGTGTGGTGAAGAAGAAGGTCATGGGTGCGCGCAGAATGGCGCTGAGGAGGCGGTCGTGCAGTTGAAGGGCGCAGTCGAGGGTGCCCTTGGTCCACAGGAACTGACGACTGAACGCCAGCAGGCTGCTCGTTATCGCCGCCTTCAGTACACATTAACCCGCACACACGACCGCACACACCCGAACATGCAAAGGTCAGGAACCGTTCAAAATAAAAGGAGCAGTTTGACACTGGTGGTGGGTGGTACCCCGAGGTAGACGGAAAGGTGGAGGGTCGTGTCGGCCTTGGCATCGCTCGACCAGAACGCCAGCCACAGCCGCGAAAACGCCTCCGTGCCCTGTACACGAGTCGTCAGCGCACGCACGCACGCACGCACGCACGCACGCACGCACGCACGCACCTCAAAGACGAGGGAGATGGCGAGCATGAGCATGAGGAAGGCGATGCCGCCTGTGCCCATGAGGTACTGCCCGTAGACGCGCCACTCGACCGCGCCCGTCCTCCGCTCCTCGTCGTCGATCAGCTTGCCCTTCGCTTTCCGCTCTTTCTCCGCCGCTTCGCTCTCCTCCGCTGCCTCCGCCTCGCCCTCGACCTCGTCGCCGTCGGTCAACTGGCCCGCGGGACCGTTGACTTCCTTTGCCTGGTCTACGTCATCGTCGCCGTTGACTTTTTCCTGGTCTTCATTGAGGAGTCCCACAAAGTCAACGCCGCGGGCCACCAGCTCGGCGTAGGTGCCCGAGGCCTGGACCGTGCCGTCGTGCATGATGTAGATGCGGTCGACCAGGGGCAGGTACTGCAGCTGA